ATTATTTTATATGTACAGATAATATATTATATAGGGTTGTCCATATTCGACTGACCCATCTGGCAGCCTTATATCTTTTGACAGAGATGACAGATCACTTATATGTATGTATATCATATCTCTCTATTATAATCAACAGAAATAATTTATAAATCTTGTTCCAGCTACAACAAAATCGGATGAGAACTACAACAAAATGTATATAAATGTCTGGGAAAATCTATATAGAGTTCTCCATGTCAACATGAACTTCTTTTGCCTTCGCATATTCACACTTGATAGCGACTGCGTCGCGAATTGAGCTCAATTCATGGCTAAACAGGGGAAAGAAAAAACAAAAAGCCAAACCCGCACGTCTCTCAGTTTACGTTGCTCAGGGTCTCTGGGGCGTCGCATGTAAATCTACTTTACGGCGCATTGTTGCCGGGAAGTCAGCGCAAAGTGCGTGAGGCCTGCACCTAAATCGCCGATGAAAGCCACAAGTGGAATGGCCAAGGGCATGGGCAGGAGGCGTGCCACATGTGCCGGTGGGCCGAGTTGGAAGCGTGTTGCGATTTTAATTTTTAACGAGAAGCAGCAGCAGGAGCAGGAACTGGAGCAGGAGCCATAGCTGGAGCAGCAACGGCAGCTTGGCCGTGTTGGGATCATCGTTGTAGCTGTTTTACATTTGTGATAACCAGGCGTGACATTGCGGCCGGCACTTGATGGAAGCGATGGCAGCGAAGGTGGCTCAAAACAAAACGCTTTTCATTACCCGAACCCCCGAAGGGCCAGGTGAGCGAAAATTTGTGCGTGGTGGAAAAACTAATTTTGATTTTAATTAAATATTTATGAGTGACAGCGGGTCGAGTTGCCAGGCTGGCCGTATGGCAATATGGCAGGACTTGAGCTAAGCCAGCCAAGCGCGGCCAAAAGAAATCCACTAATAAAATAACCAAATAGCTGGCAAATAACTTCTACTTATCACTCAGGGCGCATCAGTGAGGAAATTAAAGTATTATCCCAGGAGACTTGGTTGCGTGCCACAGCTCCAGCTGGAACCCCTTGACCAGCGCCCAAACTACTGGCATATTTATATATGGGCCAAGGGTCTCTTACCTTGTCGCAGAGTGTGAGGTGTGCTCGTCTGTGTGTGTATGCGTGCGTGTGTGTGTGTGTGTATTGCTCGTTTATTCGATCAAAAGTTACGAGCTCATCTTAGATTGGACATTAAATGGACACTAAAATATTTTCCATCTGCACGCAGCAGCCGGAGCCATCGAAACCCTCGGCGAGCGAGAAACAAGCGAAATAAATGTCATGAAACAACTCATTGACAGGCACATAAGGACACTGGTTTTATGGTCCACAGATATGACCAAAATATATGATTACCATGTGTCCAGCCACATGCGAGCTCGTAAATAGGCATTTTCTCTGCTTTAGCTCTCGACTCTCCCTTCCTCTCTCTCTCCCTCGGACAACAACCACCCAGCCACCCAGCCACCCTTCCACCCACCCCACACACACACACACACATATTGAACCCAACAGCCGCCCATTCCATAGTTTTACTAGGGGCTTCTGCTGGCCATTTGGTGACTACTTTTTCTTGATTTTTGTTGCCTTTCGCTTGGTTATTTACCAAGTGATCCAGGTGGGACACACACGGAGAGCACTGTCACAGCCTTGGTCAGTCGTAAAAATCAAAATAAAATGAAACTTATGCGTGATGTTTTGCCTTTTTCTTATTGGACTCTGCTATTGCAACCGCCTCCCCCCCCCTTTCTATCACCCACCCCACATCCCCTCAAATTCTCTATAGCTTTTTATACTCGCCCTGCGCTGGAACGGGGCAAGGGAAGGCATCGCTATGGCTCACTTGCTCGCACTACCGATAATACAAACTCTACTTAACTAGACAGCTTACGAGTGGGTTCATTTTTGTTGCCTTTCGTCCAAATGTTCCATAAAAAATGTCAACTCTTATAGGGATCTCTGACTCTTTCATATTTATAGAAATTAAATTCAAATTTTTAAGCTTTGTCGTTTAATCGTTTGTTAATTTTGTGCCTCCATAGGAAAAAGTTAAACAAAAACGTAAAATAAATAAAATAAAAGCAATTAAAATAAATAAAATTAAAAAAAAA